TGACCTGAAATGGGGTTGCCCGGGGACACTGTGGTCGGGAGAGCCTGCGGAATTGGATCAAAAAGGCTGTGATTGTCTTGAGGGGACGGTGGGGCCCTGAGGGAGGAACAACCCTGTCCTGGTCCCCGACTGCCTTCCTAGTGACCTGGCTTTGGGGCAGCAGAGGGAGGCACTGTGCCAGCCCCGCCCACCCTGCGGCCCGGCCCACCTTGGACTGGGCTCCACACAGAGGTGGACGGACGGTGTGGCACCCACGCCCAGAGGCGGCAGTCGTGGTGCCTGGGCTCACCCCACTTGTCCTGTAAACTCTCCAGAGCCGCCTCTGCCGTCTGGAATCTGCCAGGCCCACCCCTGCCACCGGCCGGGCCCCGCCGCCCACAATGGGCCTCCTGTTCCCAGGTCCCCCGGGGCTGTGGGGCCAGGACTGGGTGGAGGCCATCTGGGCTCTGGCTGCCCGGCCTGGGCACCCTCCCTGCTCCTTCCTCCTTCCCTCCCTCCCCCTCCAGGTTTCTAAGGCTAATGGCTGACCTGGCAGGGTGACCCCAGGCCCAGTGGGGAAGTCACTGTTTGGGACCCCCTTTGCACAGTGTGGGGTTCAGGTAGAGCGCTTGGCCCAGGCCTGGTACATAGTGAGTGCTCAGCTGGGAGGCGAGGGCAGCCAGGGGTGTCTGTGCCCGGGAAGGGGGAGGCCGGCAGAGCTGGGGAGGGAGAAGGGGTCCTGCTGCAGGAAGGTGGTCCAGAGCTGCCAGGCTGGTAGGCGAGCCTTTCCTCCACCCAGGACTGTGGGAAAGGGCTCTGCTTCCTTTAGCTTGGAGGCGGGGCCTGGAATTTGTGGAGCCTGGAATTGCTCACTGCTCCAGGGCTGCCAGGAAGTGGGGGGTGCGGGGTGGGGGGGGGGTAAGTGGGGAAGGAGACCAAGCTGGGTAGGAGCCAGCTCATCCCAGCCTCCACCCCCCCCCCCCCCCACACACACACACACATCCTGCATTCCTGGAGCAGTTGGGGGTGGCAAGAGGCAGCTGGGGCACTGAGCTGAGCCCTTGGGGTGGGCCTGGGTGCAGAGGTCAAGGCCTCTTCCTGTCTGCTGCCCAGGACAGGAATGCAGTTTCCTTTCTCAGCCTGACCCTGAGGACCCCACAGGCAGGAAGTCTCCAGGTCTGGCTGGAGTCAGGGAGTCTTGGGTCTGAGCCCTGATGCTGTGTGTTCTTGAGCCGGTGAACTGCCTCTCTGAGCCTCTCTTCTCACTGCGGAAAGGGGCTGAGAACCGCCGTTCCTCGCGGGATTAGAGGAAGGGATGCGGGCGAGGTTTTGAGGCCTCAGCCCAAGGTCAGTGTCTTAGCTGGCTCTGGTGGCCTGGGCGGCTTGGACAGTAGGAATTCATTTTCTCCCAATGCTGGAGGCTGGACATCCCAAATCAAGGTGTCAAGGAGTCGGCAGGTTTGTTTTCTTCCGAGGCCCTCGCCTTGGTTGCAGAGGGCTGCCGTATCCCGTGTCTTCACTGGGCCTCCTGTGTGCGAGCCTTTTCTGAGTCAAAATTTCCCGTTTTTGTAAGGACACCAGTCAGACTGGGTTAGGGCCCAGGCTGATGCCTCATTTTCCCTTCATTACCTCTCTACGTCCCTGTCTCCCAACACCGTCACGTTCTGAAGTGCTGGGAGCTAGGGCTTCAACATATACATTTGTGGGGACACACACACACACACACACACACACACACACACGTCAGCCCCTTAGCAGCCAGGCTCATGGGAATGGCTCAGGAGGAGTGGCCCTCACTTTTGTAAACTCGGAGCTCAGCATGCAGGTCAGACGAGAGACGTCCTGGGGGTCTGGTTGGCCAGAGCCAGGCCCGGCACGTTGGCAGCCTCCTGCCCGCGGCCCCAGCCCTCGGCCTCACCTTCCTCCTGCCTGCAGGGTGCCTCCTCCTGGCACGCCGAGGGTTGCCTGTGGAATATAAATGCCCTGGCGTGGGAGAGGCTGCATATAATGCAGAACCCGCACCTTTAGGCAAAACCTGGTCTCTGGGAGACCTTGCTCCCCCAAGAGCGTGAGGGGGTTGCTCTCCTGGCCCAGGTGGGCAGCACCCACCCCGGGGCTCTGCCTGATGCTCGGGCCGGAACACCCCTGCTCTGCCCCAGTCACTGCTTCTCATGTCAGGTCCCTAAAGCGCAGGGGTGAGGCTGGCCCCGCCCCCCAGCCAGTTCAGGGAGCTGCCCCTGCAGGGCTGAGGGCTGGGCCTCAGTTTCCCCACCGCTGAGCTCGCTCCCTCCCAGCTCCGACAGGCAGTGATTCCTGCGGTCAGCCACATGTGTGGGGAGAGCCCTCCGCACGCCAGAGAGGGCTTTTTCTCTGTGGGTGACTCAGCCTGTAGTCATCGCAGGCGGGGAGGGGGGCACCGAAGCTGTGCTTTCCCCCTTCCCCTCGGGTTCCCAGGGACGCCCGCGGTTCGGGAGTGCACCGTGGGCCAGGGGGGGCCCGCCCCGCCTGCCCTTGGCTCCGGCGGCTTGA